CCTAGAGTTAATGGTTTCTTGAGGGACCCCTAGATCCTTTAAATGGAGAATAACATTCAGGGGGCCCAGCCCTGCAAACTAGGTATGTTCATTGCTATCAGGAAGTCTTGCCTTCTGGCCCCTCAGCAGACAGAACTAGGAAATGTATGCACAGCTCTACCCACATGTGTGGCTGCGTGTATACATGTACGTGCATAGGTCTCTATGTGCACATGTATGCACACATAAATATCCATCTACACACAGTTATGCTACTTCAATATCTGTATCTTTGTCAACATAGAGCTGTGAGTTCACACCGACTCCTCCTCTTCTGTCAAACATCACGGCCTTTATTCTAGACTTTCACCTTTCTGCATTTGTAATTCTCTTCTGACATCAGGAAACCTGACTCCGTTATCCTCAATGTGTTTGCTCAATCATCCCTGCATGTCCTCAGGTCCCCAGCTGCAATGACCAGAAGCTTGTCCCCTCACCGTAAGTACCCCCCAAACAGGCAGGTCCCTTCCCCAACACAGGGGACTTGGATGAACAATAGCTTGCAGAGATCAGAGTGAACTCAGAGCAAATTCTGCCTGCATCTGCCACTGCCTGGACTCTAAGACTCGGGGAAGAGTCACAGGGTTTGCTTTTCCTGTTGTTGCTTAGCAGAGCAAATGTTATTTTCTTCTTTGCCATGGCAGCGCCCCCTTTAAATGTGGAATTCCTTCCCTGTTTGCTCCCCTCTACTTCTGATTACTCATGGAACAGTAAAAGGATTAACTGGGTCCATTCAAAGATGTGTGGTGCTCTAAGCTTCTCCCAGGAAGAGAGTATTATAAATATTATGTAGCTGTAAACCCCCAGCTGGAGGCCAGAGGTCAGCAGATCCCTCCCCACAACTGCCAGATGGTCGGCTCTTGTGGTGCATTCTCAAGGCCACAGGCTCACTTCCTAGATACGCGTCCTTAAGTGTCTTGGCCCAGCCCCATGTCAGGTGGTCACCTTGGAGGCAGTGAGTGTCCTCACGCTGCTGTTGCTGGTCAGTTTCTCCTTGACCGGTTCCCGTGGCGGTGGGGATGCCCCTCACAATGGCCTCACTATTCTCAGGGGCAGGGGAAACCCTTTTCTGAGAGCTAAATCTTCCCAACTCATTTAGATGTTTCTTTTCAGAAGTTTTAAGACCAGAGAGTTCTGTCACACCACGTTTACCAAGTGAAGTCGAAAACCCAATTTCTGAAACGCTTTTGACTCTCTCACCATTTCTATTGTTTGGGGAAGTGGGTAATAATGAGGCCCACAGACGTTCGTTCTGAGCTCAGAGCTGCCTGGCAACACAACACATGGCGGTGCATAAACTTTATTTACAGCCAAGGCTGGAGTAAAGGAACAGATGGTAAGAAAATCGGATTTCTGGAAGGGACAGATGCACGGGCCTGGGGAGCTCGCTAAATCTCTTGGCTCCTGGCTCATAGGAGAGGGTGAGGTGCAGCCTCGGCTGTCGCTGCCTTGACTGTGGTGGTTTGCATCTTGTCTCTGAGGAGGGTGAATACGTCCCATTACAAGCATTTGTCTCATCCCTCCCACGGGGAATGTGTTTTCCCAGAGATTTGTATGTTCCCTGCCCTTTTATGGAAAGGAGTTTCTCGATCATCCATGTCACTGTGTATCTGAAATTTCAAGAATATTTAAGCTGTTAACCCTGCTTGTCTGTAGAGGATGGGACTGCATTCTTATCATCTTGGAAATGTTTATGATGAGCACATATGAGGAAAAATAAGCACAGACATTTATGTGCTTTTGACACATTCCTAAGCATGAGCCCCACCCCCCCTCCCCGTGCATTCTCATCTCTCTCTGATGCTTTTCTCTGTGAAAGATGCTGGCCTGACAAGGAATGAAATGGCTTTATAAGTGTAGACGCTGAAGCTGCCCAGGCTGGCTCATCCCTCCCTCCTAAAGGAAACAGTTAAGGTGACTCTTCAGTTAAAGTTTGCATTGGCTTCCTGTTAGGTAGAACCATTTTGAAACATATCCTGCATCTTAGCCCAAGAGTCACCTCACAATTACTCTGACTCAGCACATCTTAAACCCAATACAATACTCCAACATCTTGAAAAGAAAGGAAATTGTGGCCGGTGCAGTGGCACGTGCCTCTCATCCCAGTAGCTCCGGAGGCTGGGGCAGGAGGATCTTGAGTTCAAAGCCAGCCTCAGCAACTTAGCGAGGCCCTAAGCAACTCAGTGAGACCCTGTCTCTATATGAAATATAAAAAAGGGCTGGAGACGTGGCCCAGTGGTTAAGTGCCCTGAGTTCATTCTTTGGTACCAAAGAAAGAAGGAAGGAAGGAAAGAGAGAGAGAGAGAAACAAAGAAAGAAGGAAAAGAAATTGTTATCTGGGACTGAATCCTGAAAACTCCTGGTTCCACATGGAATAGTGAGCACCTCAAAGAATGGAGGTGACAACCCCCTAGCAAAGGCCTAACCACAAAAATTCCCCACTGCCCCATGCCTCTGTGTCTGCTCCAGGCTATGAGTGGAAGAGCTTCTCCGTGTCCACTGGGTCCCCTCTGCAGGTTTGTCTGGAATAAGCCTGTCACCGCTGGCTGCCTCCCTCTGTCTTTATGTCCTTGGAGCTTCCTTCCTTACACTTCCCAGGGAGGGGAAGGGGGAAGAACAGGGTCTGTCCAGTGACTACTGGTGACACTCAGCCCCAGCTGTTCAATGCTGGATGGAATTGTGAACACTTTTATTCCCCAGTCTCCCCATATGCACTGTAGTAACCCTAGGGCCTTCATAGCCATCCCATGGTCACTTCTCTGGACCATGCACTATAACAAGAAAGAAAGTCCACTGTTTCTGCCTCTTAACACCTTGTCACTCCTGAGTAACATTGTCAGATTCTTTTTTTTTTTAGTTTTTTAAATTTATTTTTTAGTTATAAGTGGACACAATATATTTATTTTTTTTATCTTTATGTGGTACTGAGGATTGAACCCAGTGCCTTACGCATGCGAGTCAAGTGCTCTCCCTCTGAGCCACAATCCCAGCCCGACATGTCAGATTCTATGAAAGACACTCTTAACTTCATCCTGAGTAAAGGATGGAGTTACTTTACTATATATATGTGGTTCCTTACAGAGTTCCTTACAAATTAGCCACAAGTTGAACAACCAAAGCATCCACCAGAAGCAGTTTAAATGACGGTATTAGAACTGGTTTGATTGACTCCTTGCCTCACGGTCTGCGTCAGGCCAGCTGCAGCTCTTGGGCAGGAGAGGGACTCCTTTTGGTGGCACACAGGTTGCCTTCTTCAAACAAACTCTCCAGGCATGCCTGCCCAGGCCCCCAAAGCCCACACAGGCTGCACTTGGGAACTTGCAGGTAGCTCTGATGTCTGGTAGGATCCTCTTAACCCATCTTTGGATCAGTCTTGGGATCAGAGGTCTATAGCTTGCTGGCGCCCTTGAAACTTGCAGCTTTTGGGTTCTGGGCTCCATCAGTGAGATGTCCTCATCCTGGTGGCAGAGGACACAGCAGACTCTCCACCCCATCCCCTGCCCCAGGCCTGGCAGGATGAAAGTCAAGCTGGACATTGGGTGCCTTAGTGACAATGTACCAGTCTCCATTAAGTGAGTCATGTACTCTTACTTTCCACTGCCTCTGCCATCTCCACTGATGGCAGTTAGCAAAGTCAAGGACAAAGCCCTGCTGAGCAATCCCTGGACAAACCACGATGGCATACCTATTCACATATATAGGGTCCCAGCACATTCTAGAAATAGGGAATGGTTTAGAGCAGGGACAAGATCTAAGGCTAGGACCAATCCCACTGAGGGTCTCTAATTCACCTTTGATGTCTGGATGTCACAGCAGCTTCAAAAATGCCACTGTTCTTGAGTCCTAAGTTCCAGGAACCATTGAGATGAGGTGGTAGCTCTAACCAGCAGCAGCAGCAGCAGCAGCGACAAGGAAGGAGGCAACTCATATACGTCTGGGGCTTTTCTTTTCTTTTTTGCATTCTTTCTTTGCCTGACAAAAATAACCCCTTCATTCTTTGGGGTTCCAGCTTTTGTTTGCACATGGATCACTGTGGATGCTTTTCTTCAACGTGGATTCCTGGGTTCTCCAGCATTTAGGTTCAGCAGGTGCAGGGAGGCCCTGGGGACCACAAGCTCCACCACCATGTGATCCTGGCTGGGCAGTAACCTTTGTCCTCTTGGTTTTTTCACCTTATACAATCCACTTCCCACTTGCTTTAATTTTCACCTATGTGCTACTGATTTCCAAATCTGTGTACCTATGACCCTAACTTCGCTCTTGGACGCTAGGTTTAAATTCTCACCACCTGCAGACACCTCTCCTTGATACCCTGTAGATACATTCAAACTGTAGTTCTGAAAATTACTTCCTCCCAAGACATTTGACATTAAAGGCCACTCTCTGAGGTTCTCTTCTTACATAAGGAAAAGCCAGAGTTGGCCAGTGTGGAATCCACTCCAGGTGAAGAAAAACTTAATTGTTTAACTTTCATGGAAAGTTAAAAGAAAAAGCTGCCATTGGCTGAATAAACCATAAGAGATCAGAAAATTTGCTTCCTTGATGTATAAATTGGGGACTAGCATCATCTCTCTTGCTAAACCTGTGAATAGACATTTAAATATTGCATCATCATTTAATAAGTTTTTACCTTTCTTCCCATAAAACAACTGATAGTTCTGCCAAGGCAGAATTTGATACGTTTGGGTACTTAGTATCTGTTGCTTTTTGTTTTGTTTTTACAGCGCTGAGGATGGAACCCAAGATGTAGTACACACTAGGCAAATGTTCTACCATTGAACTATATTCCCCTCTACGATTTATTCTTAGTGCATTTGTCTCTTTGGCTTCTGTTAGTCTTTTTTTCCTCCCCGTTTTTCTGTCTATTGAACATGCCACACACTTCCCCAAATCTTCTGCTTCCTGTGGTCAATCATGTTCCGAGGTAGGTTCTTCCTCTCAGTCCAGGACAATCCTCCTGCTGCCTTGTTCTACAGCATCTCCCCGTGGGATTTCATTTTCACCTTCACTCTTCTTGATCAAGGTGAGCTCTGACCTTCTACCAACAGAGAGGCTCTCCACACTGCCTGGGGTTGGCCTTGCTTGGAACCAAGGGCTGCCCTAGGAAGCATAATTTTCTGTGCTAAAAATAGGACAGTGTGAAGCCTGTCAACCTGGACGGTCTCCCCAAAGGTGATTAAAGGTGATTACTGACCTGAAAGGGGGCGGGAGAGGGGACTGGGAAACAAGGAGGAGGGGGGAAGGGAGGCCTGGGCAGTTTGGGCTTTTAACCCAACTCTAGTTTTATGGCCTTTCTTTCCAGGAATAGCTGGGGCTCCTGCTCAGAACCCATGTTGATTTTGAACCTATCACCACTTCAGGCTGACCACTCTTTCAGCCTCTGCATGATTGCCCATTTTCTCCTCCCAGTTCCATCTCATGACACTTATCTTCCCTAGCTCCTCCCTCTTGTTCCCCTAATTTGATAGTGTTTTTGCTTTGAAATCCCCCTCTTCACTAGCACATAGCAGTGACAGGTAACATGGGACAAGTAAAAGAGAAGCCATGCTCAAGAATGAGGGGCTTAGGACCCTGGAGCTGGAACAGAATTGAAATGCAAAAAAATGGTATTTTGATGTCAGAAATGGAAAAAAATTAAATAAGGTAAAAATCAAGTCTTGTGAAATGCTCCTCTGATCCCCAACAAGGACCCTTTTGTTATTTTTGCACTCCTGGGACGGAGCCCCAGCCTGTGCATCCCCTCACACAGTCTTCACAAACTCTTACCACTGTCCCTGCTTTGCCTGTGGGAACCTGAGGTATAGAGCGTCAGGGACACACCCCAGCCTGGCTCCAGAGCTGTGCAATGTAGCAGCTCTGCTGGTTGTCCCCAGGTGACCTTGTGCTCCCTGGTAGTGACTAACTCCCCACCTGGCTTCTCCAGCTCTTGCCTCTTCTGCTGACCGACTCTGTGCCCTGGCCCTGGCCCTCAGCGTGTGTGCCTGAGTGCAAATTCAGAACAGTGTTGGGCTGGGTCCATTGGCAGGTGCCAGGGGCAGCACTGGTGTCTGTGATAGTTCATTTTCTGAATCCACTTGACTGGAGCCAGAGAAGCCCAGATTGCTGGTGCAACAGGATTTCTGGGTGTGTCTGTGAGAGTGTTTCCAGAAAAGGCTCGCATTTGAATTGTCAGACCAAGTAAAGAAGATCCGCCCTCATCAGGGCAGGTGGCCACGATCTGGTCCTTTGAGGGAATGAGTAGGATGAAGAGTCTGAGGAAGTGTGCGTTTGCTCTCTCTACCTAGCCTGGGGCATCCATCTTCTCTTGCCTGACATTGGCACTCCTGGTTCTCCAGCCCTTCGGACTTGGACTAGGACTTACACTATTGGCTCCCTGGTTCTCAGGATTGGACTAGAATCACACCATTGACTTTCCAGGCAGACCTCGGCTTACAGAGAACAGATCAGGGGGCTCCTAGGTTCTTTGATCACATGAGCCAATCCCTCATAACTACTCTCTCACTCTCTTCTTTATTTCCATCCATCCATCCATCTGTCCATCCACCCTCTGAACTACTAGTTCTGTTTCTCTGAAGAGATGCAACCAATGTTCCCGGGAACAGCACCGTTCCTGGGGTATACGGAAGCTGGCATCCGGGAGCTAATAGAGAGACATCTCCACAGCACGACAGAGCAGGAGAGAAAAGAGCCAGAGGATAGCAGAGGAGCAAAGCAGACCTCTCCCACAGCCTCTGTTTCAGAAGGCAGGAGGAGATCCCCTGGGGGGTCCTCAAAGGAGTGGTGAGAAACTTGAAGGGGCTGAAAGTACTGTGGTGGGGTGCGGGGAACAGGGAGCCAAAGACATGCTACTTTCTACTTTTTTTTCAGTTTTATTTCTTT